AGCAAGTTCTTTCCCTCGTCAATTGACAGTTTCATATTTTGTTTCTTCGCCAGGGCGTCATTACTGGTACGACATCTCAGCGGATATGAACTGTGACGACTTTTATCCGATGTTTCTTCTGTACAACAGTGACCGTTTGACAGGTTTTGGATGGGTTGCCCAGGGTAATGCTGCCAGCTCAAGATACGAACACCCTCCCCCTAAGAAACTGGGGGTAAGTACGATACGAGCGGTGTCCTATCTATGTTATGTATGAGTACAGGTGTACGTGAGTGTGTTCGCGTGCCAGTGTGTCCATGTATAGGCATGTGGGTGTGCCCCACGCCTGTACAAGTGTCTTTTCCTTTGTTTGAGCTGTATTAGCTAATAAAGGACCAACGTCAAACTCTTATCAAATTTAATAAGTTACAAGCTATTTTTAAGAAACGAGATACCGGAACAGAGCCATGCTTTGGCGATCACAAGCTTCGACGCTGTCACGGCGTCTTTCTCAAGTGAATATGGCAGAAATCTACTTGTCACGTGAGCTTGGGTGAACCAAGTCAAGTGCCCAAACATCCTCGAATAGGGCCGGAAGTTCAAATTCCGGTCTTGATTGAGCATCGGGGACTGGCACAGAATTTCCAAGGCCTCACGAACTCTCATGAGTTGAGAAAGACGCTGTGACAGCGTCGAAAGATTGTGATCGCTAAAACATCGACTCTGCAGTGCTTTGACATCTCGTTTCTTATTATGTCTGCTACAGAGTCGGGAAACAATATCTTTACTCGATTGCAAGTTATTTTCATTTAATTCTCTTTCTTTTTACTCTTCTCTTGCAGCTTGGCTTCTTCCTGTCAGATACTAAGCCCAAATGCATCGCAAACATACCATCGTTGACCACTCAACACGTGTACCTGGAAAAGCGCCCATATTTGAGTTTCTGCTGAACCTGTACGCTCTCTGGGCAATTAACTGTAGAATAAGGGAATATCTAAGGGGCATGTATATCATTGCATTAAAAATCAGAAGGCAAACAAAAAAATGCTGAATATAGACTTTCATCTTTTCTGCCATTTATTACTGCTAAAAACTAACCTGAATACGTCTTAAAATGAAAGGAATCTTGATTGACTAATGTATAACATTGTGGTATTAATCTCCGAAATTAAAACAGGTTCTTTTCACAGGCGTTTGTTTTATCATTTTCCCGTATACTTTTCATCGACGATAATTTTTGTAGCTGGGTGGATGATGCAAGAAATAGCAATCAGTAGACAATTACTGTTCTGTAGAACATTCTTTGTTTACTCCCGAGTAACACCTTTATCCTTCCGATAAATTAATTGCGATCGATAGCTAAATTCTCGTTACAACACTAATGCGTTTTCGAGCAATCGGGTAATGAGAATAAAGAAATCCATCATGTAGGGGATAGCGTCTGGATCGTCGCGAAATTCTCAGCACCGGGGGAAGTGACAATAATAAACATTTCAAATCAAGGGTTTGAAGAGCTACAAATTTAGGTAACAGGCGAGCTAATTAGTTGTAAAATCGAGATTAAGATTAATTGTTAGATTAAAAAGCATTTTTTATAGTCCGTTTCGAAACATGACAATGATTCTGGGAACAAATTAATTCTCACTAAAAGAAGCAAATACCAGTCAACTGGAAAAAACTGTGCATAGTAACATTAACAACTGCAACAAAATAAGCGTTTTCTAGAAACCAGCAAGATCTCACGCAATCATCTTTATTTCCCATCCGAAAGGAAAAGACTCCTTAATTCTCTATTGAAGACTCTTAAAACTGACAAGGAAGTCAATTACACGGCAGTGTAAGTCTACAAGTAGTCCTTGACAGATTTCTGGAAACCATTTTAAGTGATACTATCCTTGTTTTCTTTTGTGTTGGACGCATGAATCGTTTTTCTAGCAAATGTTCAGGAAAGGACTGGAGTCCAAGTAGACGTGCATCATAGACAGCCGGTCAGCGGTCCAGAAACAGGGCGGCACGGTACCATTCTTAAACAGATACTGGAAAAGAACGACAACATCATTTTGACAGCGTTTGCATCTCAAGTCTACGAACTAAATTTAAGACGACTTCCCTGGGGGGAGGACGGGAATGGGGGGCAGTGCTCCTTATAATGGCCTATATGGGGAGGGCCCGCCCGAGAGAGGTAACTTTTTCAGGCTTCAGGTATACTGAAGGGTACGGATTTCACAGATTGAGGAATATGAAAGGGTAGGGAAATCAGAGTATCTTGACTCCCGCTACAACATGAAATGAAGAAATAATACTTGTTTTTGTGGTTAACAGTCTCCTGATAATGCTTGATGTTCTCCCATAATATTGTTCCTAATTTTATTTCAAGGGTTTAGAAAAGGGATGCAGTGAGCTATGTGACAGAGTTATTTTTTCCAATAGAAGGCATACGAAATGGGTAGTTTTTTTGTCAAAATGGTATACAAAAGGGCAAGGGGTTGAACCTGGGGGCGGAGGCCNCAGTCTGTATTCCCGCTATGTTATCGTTTTCATCAAATAACAGCATGAGTGTCGTGTTCCCATCACGAACATAACGATTTCCGTGAAAATATGCGCTGTCTTCAAGAAAAATAAATAGAGATCAAAAGAATTATTTTGCTGTGATGTTTTTGTGTGCTTCTATGATTATGATGTGCACCTGGTAAATAGATCCGCAAAAGTGGAGGAAGTGGGGAGAAGGCCCTGAGCTTAAGGGGAGGGGGGTGGGGAAAGAAGGAAGGAGGGGGACCTACCATCGACTAACATCACTATACTCGGGACAATAGTACTAAACCAATTTGCTTCATCCTTCAAAAATGTTAACAATAAAAAATAAATTAAAAAACAAAATCAATTCTCCGACCACAGGCGTATGCTAATTTATAGCATTTTACACTCACCGCGACACTTGTCCTGCAAGCTCCACCCTTTGTCGACAGCGTCAGTAACGGTCAGCGGCATCGCCTCCCATTTGAGCCAAGTGACTGAGAGACAGGTAAAGCTTTCAGGATTATATTCGTAAACAAACTGTTTCTTGAGCATATTTACTTATTAACATTTGGGGGATCCGTGACGTCTTTGGATGAGTTCCTTACGATATTTGACCCTGGAGAATACGGCATCCCTCCTGTAGGAGATTTAAAGTGCAAAAAAGTCTTGTAATCGCCTACCTGATAGTGCGTCCCATTTTGGAGCCATCGGGTCTAAAAGAACAAAAACAGTCTCACACATGTATCAAGTTCTGTTCAGTAATGGAACTGGGGTTAGGCTTTCCAGAATGGACTTAAAATAACAATAACACTGAACAACAACAAAACATTCAGGTGAGTAGCAAGCTAGGCTCTTTTTCAACACGGACAATTTATCTCCGGATAGTTTTACAACCCCTACACAAAATTAATGAATAAGTACGAGAAGCTAAGAGAGGTCAATCAAACCCAAATGTTTAGCCCTCCAGCGCTGCTGTTCGCTAACATGTCCCCACAAAGCAAAAAACAAAAAAAAAAACCAAAACAAAAAAAAAACAAAAAAAAACCAAAAAGAAATGCTATTGCTGTCCTGGCCGTCATCGAGGGTTCTCCAGTAATCCATAAATACTGAAACGAGTCAAAAATATCTTTCTCTGTTATGAAATACCAATTTCCAATCATTCAACTAATTTTGAATCACTTCAAAAATTTCGAGAAGCTAAGGCAAAGTAAAAGCTCCCCTTAAAGTAGACCAGTTAGGTCCAGCCCTCTTCTTTAGATCAATGACTTGACTAAAGAAAGAGTAATAATTATTAGGAGTATATTTTAGGTTCATTTGCTGACTTTACTTGACCACTTATTATACATTGTCCATAAATTTCCTTCTGAGCACAGTTGGATTCATCTCAAGTTTGATAAATACATCTCATTTGCTAGGTATATCAAGTTAACGAACCAGGAACATCTCGGAGGCCAAATTTTACGGATTTGTGTACAATAGGACAACATGCTGTCCAAATAATTGGATGAGAAAAATTCCGAGGACAGCCAAAACCAATTTGGCTGTCAAATATATTTTTGAATCCAATATTTCCAAATTGGACTATGATGTAGTCTTACTACTTTTTAATTAGATCGCGTACGGAACTATCCAAATTACCTGTTAATTTGAACACTATCCAAATTAAGAATTTATTGGGCTAGTAATCTAATTGATATGAAAAAAGCTTTGTTCTATAATTGCGAGTGAAGTACTTACTTTTCTTAGAAAAAACCGCTAGTATCGAAATATTCCTGAAGGGGGACTGCTTGTTAGTGAAAACTTGATTTATTTTAAAAACCTCGAGCCCTAAATATCACCAAAATTAAAAATATTGTCTGAGAATTTATTTATAATTATATCATTATCTAGTGCTAAATAAAATCAACTCCGCTACGAATGAGAGAAGTTTGTAGTTCTGTTGCAAATTTAATGCTGAAGTCGGAGTTTAGATGAGCAAATAAGTTTCTCATTTAAAATCGATTTACTAACAGCATAAAACACTTAAATAAGTTTAAATTTCCGCTTCTGTTGAAAAATTATGCTGTTCGGTTTGTGTACAAATTGTGATAGCAAGTTTGTTTACACAGCAGTGTTATTCTCCGAATCAGTTGTAAGTTTCCCCTTCATTTAAGGAGTAAATTGGCCAAAAAGATTAGAAAAAAGAGAACAAACGAGAACATTAGCCCAAACTGCACGGTATTTCGCAGCATTTCTTACAAGTAAACTAAACTTTTCCATATGGGTACGGTAATTTCTAATTGTTGTCCTTCGAAAAGTCTTACCTATCCTGTTTACGCACATAAATTAAAAGGAACAACAAAGACGTGAATCTTCCAAATATTGCCATTACCTGCGTTTCTAGATCTATGCCAGTACCTTCGCCCAGACACCGCCATAAGGCAAACGAACAACGCCGCCCAGATCTTCATTTTACGATGAAAGGCTAGTGAGTTTTAGCAGCAACTTAATTTAACGAGGCTCTTAAACGCTTATGTGCTATGAGAACAATTTACGACTCATTTAAAAGCACATCTACAGCAGCTGAGTAAACATGCGCCCCGTGATATTGTTGGCAATGATCAATAGAAAACAATGAATGAAGCATGAAATGTAGAACTCATTACACTGCAGGACAGGAAATTCAAGCGCCGACCTCAGTGCAAGGAGATACGCGACAAGCACGGAAACGGAAATACTTTCATCGTGTTTATGGAATATTCCCTCGTAAAATAAATCGTTTATGTGTCTAGTTCTCTTATTGAGTAGACTAACACTCAGCTCAAAGTACTTTTACACCCAAACAGCACTGAAAAACACTGAACAACAAGTCCCAATGATCGTATCCAAATTCTCTTTATTGTCACTTATATCTCCCATAATTTTCCCTGGGAGAAAATGGTCTTTGATCAAGATTTTTGTCTAAGGTAATCAGATTCATCCTTCTTGTAGAATTTGTTAGAAAAGGTAAAACGAGATTATAAGAATTAACATGAACAATGAATATGATCCAAAAAAATTCCACGAGAGCAGAACGCACTTGAAAGGAAAAGAACCAGAAGGCATTGATCATCTGTGGTTTTCTTCTCATTTTAAGACACTCAGGCGCCGGAAAGCTCTGCAGGCAGCTCACAATTAATTACGATAATAATTTATGAGATATTAGTCATTTACGAATTCCTTTGCTTTCTTATGTTTTTTAAGTTATAAATGTCATTTAACGAGTTGTTGGAAGGGATACGAGTTTAATGAAGAAATAGTTTAAATTTAATGCCCTTTTAATGAGCGCTGCTCCTGACAGTGCCAACATTAGATGAGGTCTCAATAATAAGAAAGCCACGCGAACACAGCCTGGGGCAAGCAAATATCTACAAGAACAATCAAGACAGTTTGACTTATTTATACAAACACTACAAACACATACTAAAGTAATCCGGAAAATGAGGTAGGCTGCTAATAGGCACTGCCAATGGAGGTGTTGATTAGAATGATTTTCTACTTAGCTCTGTCATTAATAGAAGTTTGTCAGGCACACTGGTTTAGTATACGGCTATACTGAAGAGGATTGTATTACAAATAGGTTGTAACTATGTAACTGCATACATGAATTAATCACAATTAACCCCTGGAGAATGCTAGCGGAGTCTGGAGCAGATATTTTGGGCCTTGTGATGCAAGTTGTCGTCTTTTGAAAGATTTTCTGTTTTGTGCCTCAATCTAATCTTTTAATTTTTACTTGCATGTATTCTCTGTAATTAACGTACGAATGTATCAAGGCTTTTTTAAGCGAAACAGAAAAACTTTATGAATGTAATGTAATTATAAAAGTAAAAAAATAATAAAAAAAAGAAAAAGAAAATTTATGTCCATATTATGTGTTTCTCGAAAAAAAAAATCATTCTGTTATCGTTAAGTTGTACTTTGGGAACTTTCCCAGAGAGGGCGGAGTTGTCGGGTAATTTTAAGAGTTCTCAGCATGGACGTTTTCCAGGACAGTTCTTCGATGGCAGAGTCAACATCATACGAAATATGAATGAACTGTTGATGGGAGTCAAGCTGTTGAGAGGGTGACAGGAAACGTAAAAATCATGTTAGCTTTGCATGTAATG